CGGATCACCTGATGGTAAGCAATCGGCGTCGCCCATGGACATCCGAAACACCAGAGGCGTTACAAGTGCGTTACCCGGCCTTTTGAGGAATTTGAGTATTATTGGGGATTGGGGGATTCTTAAGTTTGATTTCAGTAAATATTGAAGATAAAGTAATATTGTGTCTTTCATTTATAAATATCGGATTGGTATGATTATCTCGTTCGTAGAATCTTCACGAGTGCTACTGCCGATCAAAAGACTCCAATCTCCGTTTTGGACTACAATAATTATCAATTATAAAGATTTAAAAACCATTTTTCTTTTCCATAGTGCTTATCCAAATGATGTCAGCAGCTGTAGCCAAATGCCATTTAGCGCTTGTCTTCATGTAGAATAGAAAACCAAATTATATGGAATTGACGGAAATTTTGACACTTGTCAGTGTCATCCCCATACATTTAGTTTTCTACTCTCTCTGTAGACAAGCGCTAAAGTGGCGTTTGGCTAAAGGCACCGATCTCTTAATATTTCTGCAGAAATGGCAATCACAATTTATCATAACAGTCGTGAACAAAAACTGTATTAACGATAGTTTATATTATACATTGTAATCGGAATCACTCATGTGTAGACACACGTGTCCGATCTTATTTGTCGCCACTATGTCCAGTCAATGAAATAATTGCTTTAATCGTTCAATAATTGATATAATATTACAGTCTAGCATAGCATGTACAGCGGTGTGTAGTAATTGCTATTGGTCGCTGTTTTTAACTCGTCGAGCACCGTCAATATAGACACAATTAAAGAACAATAGGTCGCGGTCACCGGTGACCGCTTGGTGTTTGACAGTTTAAATTATGTTTGGGTCTTTAGTAATTACAATTTTACCCTCCTAACGATAATCAAAGTCAGGAAGTCTGGTATTTAGTACATAGTTACTCTTAATTTTGCTGACCATACAATCCTACTTCCAATTCCACTAATTTTTACCGACTTCAAAAAAGGAGGAGGTACTATTGTCTGCTGATAGTTTTTGTTTTGTTTGTTCGCCTATTACTCCTCCATTTGTGAACCGATTTCCAAAATTCTTGTTTTGTTTGAAAGGGTATACTCCCGAGATGGTCCCATTTTCATGAAGTCAGGATTTGATGAAGGGAAACATATTCAGTTATGTATATCATTATGATATTAGCCTATAGCACCGATTTCTAACCTATCAGTGGGTGGGTAATTATGGTCAACAACACGACTAATCCCACGTGAACACGGGGGAAGTCGTTGGCAGATTCTAGTATAATCTAATTATTTCCACATTTACCCCAGTATTAAAGAACTTCCTGTCACAAACGAAAGGCGTTGATTGGTAGGATAGAGCTCATTGAAACCTATTAAACATAAAATATATTTTTTACGTTTTACATGACCATTTTTTGTGGCATAGAATGGAAAACATGCAGAAGTTAATACGTCGATCGATTAGTAGAAATGCCTAGTACATATTTAATTTGTATCTGACATTCTCAACTGCGTCATAAAATAATATTATGCGGTTTCTTCATAGCTTACTGCAATGTTGTTTTCCTGAGTTCCTTTGTGCAGTTAGAGCATTTATCATTATTTGTATTTTAAACCAAATAAGAAATACACGTCATTTCTTGTTTACTACGGATCGTCTTATCGACTAGTCACAAGATTTCAAGATCGATTTGGGGTCGAGTATTGCATTTTAGTTTTGAGTTTTTTGATGATGAAAGAGTACCAAACATTGTTTTACTTTTTAAAAAAACGTTGCCGCACACTAGGATTTTCTCCCGGAACTGTGTGGATCTGTGGATCACACAAAGAGTTGTTCCGTACGGGAATCTAACCCGCGACACGTTGCGCGGCATCCAGTTGCCCTGCCACCGCGCCTAATATCGGGGGCCTAATCAGACCTTCCTTAAAAATCACTCTATCTACTAAAAAAACCGCAACGAAATCCGTTGCGTAGTTTTAAAGATCTATACATACATAGGGACAGACAGACGGCGGATAGCGACTTTGTCTTATACTATGTAGTGATTATTGTGCAATATTGCACCTGGTATGCAAGCGAAGAAGTTAAACGCACTCCGCAACTAACCTTTTTTCATATCTCCCACGAAGTCTTATACGCTTTTTAAGGTCGCCCCTAAAGTCCCCCATATTTGTTTAGGACTGAAAAGTAAAAATATTGTGACAAATGTACATATTTACCTCTGTTCATCCCCTAGGGGAATAACAGGCGTGATTTTACATTTATCTCGTTATCTCTATTTGTATTTCAAAATCAAATATCAATATAGTACTTACTTACCTACGTAATGTTATTTTATTTTTAAACTGTCAAACACCAAGCGGTCACCGGTGACCGCAACCTATTGTTCTATAATTGTGTCTATATAGACGGTACTCGACGAGTTAATAGAACTTGTGTATATAAGTTATTTATATAAAGTATAAAAATAAGAGTGGACTGCCTCATTGGCCGAGTGGTCGCAAGTGCGACTGCCGGGCAAGGGGTCTCGGGTTCAATTCCCGGGTCGGGCAAAGTATTACTGGGTTTTTCAAAAACATCCCAGTAGTAGCACGGAGTCTGGAATTGTGCCCGGTATATCGCAATAGGCTCACCCCCTGTTACATGGGACTCATAACATAAATAGTGAAAAGTGGGTGTTACATTGTACAGTGGCATAATGTACAGTGTACACCTCTGCTTACTCCTTCGGGGATAAAAGGCGTGATGTTATGTATGTATGCATGTATAAAAATAAGAAAATAAATAAATATGGAGAATATAAAATGAACTAAATGTAATGAAAAAAAAAATAAAAAAAACTAAAAACGATTGTTTATCTACTTTTTTATGATAACTATTGAGAATCATGCAGCACCCAAAGTACACTTTTTGTAAGAAGCCGAAATTAATAGAGAAATATTTTTTACTAACAAATCAATCAGACAATTACAGCGACTTAAAATGATCTGATACACTAGTAGATTTTATTGTTATCTCTTCAAAGATAAGGCTATATTCTAATCTAAAGTCTACGTAATAATATGACACAATATTTCACAATGACGCACTAGTGTTGTACAATGATTACATTACAATTTTGTAACGTCACGTTTTTGTGTTTTCCGAAGAATGCACATTTGTATCGACGAAATAAATCTGAAACGTGAACTTACGTCATAATTATTTTACATGTATTTATTTATTTATTTATTTATATATACTTTATTGCACACATAGAAAAATTGTAAACATTTCAATAGTAATTTGAGTACAATGGGCGGTCTTATCACACGCGGCGATTTCTTCCAGACAACCTTTCGATGGAATTTTTGAAAAGAATCTGGGAATGTATCTATGTAGAGTAGCTACTCCTGGAGGGAGATTCGTTTTTTTTATATATGATGGGCCGACGTTTGACCACTATCTCGCCTCTTAAGCAATGATGCGGTCTACGATGGAGCACGTCGTCCCATGAGCAACCTATTCACTCAGGCCTTGAAGACTCCCAGGTTATACCCTTGAGGAAATATAGACTCCGGCAAAGAATTCCACTCTTTAGCTGTACGCACAAGGAAGCTTGATGCGAAGCGCTTCGTGCGTGTCGGTGGGACATCTACCATGAATCGGTGCCGCTTCGTCGATTGTCTTGTGGTACGATAATGGAAAGGACTAGGAGGAATCAAGTTGTACAATTCCCCCGCACACTCACAGAAATGTATCCGGTAGAAAACCGAAAGGCTTGCAACCTTACGCCTGTGTTCGAAGCTTTGAAGCTGGGCCACCATAAGCGCATCATCGTTGATGAGCCTCGTGGCACGCCACTCAATGTGCTCTAATGCGCTCAGCTGATATTTAACCGAGCCGTCCCAAAGATAAGAGCAATACCGAAATACCTCCATACAAGACCGAACCTGTGGAGAGCGGTTCAGCCTAGAGAGCGCTCTAGGCAAGCACCTCATTTTTTGTGGCGCCGCCATTCTATGGTCTACTGAGCACGCGCGTATCGCGGCTCCCCTGTGTAACATGGCGCCCTAGACAGTTTTCTGTAAAGATAACATGGCTCTGTTTTAAACAGTTGTAATGGGTTTTATAGTGCTTATGCATAAACTGTGACGTCACAGTACGTAAAAGAAAGTTTGCAAACTAAAACTAGGTCAAGTTTGTCGCATTATAGTCATGTCTTGTGCCAAAACTGTTAGCGTTGGCGTATATTTATTATCTTATGTAATCCAAAGATATGAGATCATCTTAAAATGCGAAGGTGTCGTCCACTTTGGATCTGTGATCTGTAGGTAAATATTATCACTATGATGTCAAAACGTGAGCTTTAAGAAAACTATATGGTGACAGGATGACAGCAGAAATAATGTCTCAGCTTCTGTAATGAGTTCACATCTGTCGCCACTTCTGCTCTTCCCGTGGGTTTCGTAAGCAAGAACCAAAAAACTACATAATTACTTAATAGAGACTAACCAGCAGCATTCTCTAATGAACCTAATTCTAAATTGCTTTCTCCAACTCGCCTGCCAAGCGAGGAGATTATGGCAAACCCCTTTTATCTAGAAGCGGTCCATAGTCTGACAGTAGACTATCACCAGGATGTTGATGTTAAAAGCTAGCTAAATCTCTAACAGAAGATTGTTGACTATTCCGAGTGAGGGAGGAAGAGTGATGATGACAGGGTATGAAAATTAAAAATCTAATTAGTCCGTCAGTTAGGTAATGAAAAAATATTAGACACGTATTTTTTTTATTTTGATGTGTAATAAAATGATACTTAGATAAAACGAATCAAAGTTAAGGAGTTGGAGTTAAAACGTTATTTCTACGTATAAAATGTACATAGAAGTGACGTCACGCGACATTTCAAATCAATATATCGTCGAAAGTATTCGTTTCTGTAAAAAAATAGTTGTCTATACATATTCATACTCCAGGTTTCCTCATTTCTAACGTGTAATTTTTCTCTCTGTCACAGGTAGTGGAATGCAAAGAGAAGTCGACAGGAGCTAAGCGTGCGCTGAAGGTGTTACATGACAACACAAAGGCCAGGCGCGAGGTGGAGCTGCATTGGAGAGCTCGGGGCTGTATTCATATTGTACAGGTAAATTATTATTACATATAAACTTATTGCATTACTAGGACTTTTTTTTTAAGTGGGGAATATCATCGAATGACTGCTCCCGCCTGGGTGAGGCGGGAGGGAGTGTCCGACTCTTACTGACTAAAAACCACCCCGTTCCTTCTCCTGCACGTCGAGCCGGAGCCCCGATTACCCGTTAGGTTCTCCGCGACGCATTACTAGGGCTAAAGGATGTTTTAGAAAGAGTGGAAGGGATCCGTGTTGAGTGTTGAGCAATATTATGGTTCGGTATTTTTATTTTTGAAAATATCTTTTAATAAAATTGAGATTCGAAGCACTTTTTAGCAGCCATGACTTGTAATAGGTGAATCGACGAGTCCACAAATTGGACCCAATTCTGGAGTAGTTACGAGCAACTAACTGCTGAGAATTATCGAAAATAGACAAGAATACTTTGTCCATCTCGATATTCGAACCCTAAAACCTTTGTTCAGGAGTTTCTTGCTACCACTCAACCACTGTCAACTCATATTACCATTGTTAACACATCAATATCTCCTATTTAACCTAAGAATCGAAGCCACATCACTCAGTACCCTCCTTACCCTATAAAGTCCCGAACTCCATCAAGTGCCAGCTCAAAATGATTGATCGCCTATTTGATTGATGAAGAATATTGTACACAGAACACAAAGTTTTCTTTCGTGGAAATTCATGGAAAATAATTTTACCTAACGATATTAGGTAAGCATCTACAGTGGTCCGGTGTTTGGTTACAGGGTCGTCCCTTAATCATAAGGTTTGTCCCTTAACTGATGCGAAAAAGTGATAATACAGAAGCTGTTGGTATACTTATTTAACTCGTCGAGTACCGTCATTATAGACACAATTATACCTCTAGAACAATAGGTTGCGGTCACAGGGGTTTGACAGTTTAAATAAATAAATACATGTCAGCCATAGGACGTCCACTGCTGAACATAGGCCTCTCCCAATGACTTCCAGATAGGCTGGTTGGAAGCGACGTTTGTCAAGTCGTCTGCCCACATAGTATCTTAATACTTTACTAGTTTTTCAAAACTATCTTTTCTCGCGTATATATTCTCGCTTACTACCAGGCGAGATAGTGGTCAAATGTCGGCCCATCAAATATAATAAAACAATTATCTTTTAACACAACGTTTGGAACTTTCGACCCCTTTTACATGGGACTCGTAACATAACCAGTGGCATGACTCTAGCTAACTTCCTATCCCTTCGGGGATTAAAAGACGGGTAACTCCTATTTTTATAAAAACCTCCGTCGGTCGGTTTGAAAAACCCGATGTCAACCCATTATTTTTTTGAAGTCGGTTAATTAATATAGGTTCTAGAACCTTCTCCTAAGAGTAATAACTGCCGCACCATAATCAGTTCAGCCTATCGCGAGATAATCGCACACAAATATACCTACATACATACAGGTCAAAGGTGACAATCCTTTTTACCGAATTAAAAATTCGGTGCAGACGAGCAGACGGATCACCTGATGGTAAGCAATCGGCGTCGCCCATGGACACCTGAAACACAAGAGGCGTTACAAATGCGTTACCGGCCTTTTAGGGATTAGGAGTTTGAGGATTGTTGTTGATTGCGGAATTGAGGAGGTTGGGGAGGGCTCCGGTAACATCACTCACACGACGAAACACAACGCAAGCGTTGCTTCGAGCCGGCCCATTCGTACCGAAGCATGGCTCTCCCACACTTTAAAATTATCTATCTTTTTTACATCAAAAAATGTCAATAGAATTGAAAGGTACATAGTCAACAGTAACTAGTCATCCATCCGCTTTTAAACCGCAATGGGCGTTGCTTACCTTCATCGATTCATAGTTAAACAATGGCTTTAAATAAATGAATTGGTCATATCCCGAATGAAATCATCTGTGTCAACTAACTAAGTTTACGCTTGTGACTTCGCTCGCTTGTTTAGAATTTAGGTTTGTCTAGAATTGTTAGATCAAGATCCTGTAGGAATATAGTTAAACAAATCAGCTACTTCTGAGCAAAGACCTCTTCTCACACGGAAAAGAAACTACCTCAAGCTATTTTCCCCAAACTGCCCTGAAGTTGGCGGTAGACTTATTGAATCCAAATAAACAAACTAAAAATCTTTCTTCTGTAATCTATATATATAAAAATCAATTGCTGTTCGTTAGTCTCGCTAAAACTCGAGAACGGCTGAACGGATTTATCTTATCTTGGTCTTGAATTATTCGTGGAGGTCTAGGGAAGGTTTAAAAGGTGAGAAAAATTCGAATAATTGCCGGGAAAATCCTCAAAACAGCATTTTTCTATTTCCCATACAAACGTTTTCTAAATAAAATGGAGAGTCAATTTGTAATTTATTACCGCTGCATAAAGTTCAAATTATTTATTACGATTTATCTGAAAACCTGAAAACGGATATCTGACAGGTAACATTACTATGGTAACCAACCTGATGATTTGTAATTGTTATGGCGTCCTACTTCCATAATATATTTTGGCATCAACATATAAAAATGAAGTTCTGTGGGTTTTCAAGGAATAATATTAGTATTCAGCTGCATCAGAGATTTTAAAGACAAAATACGAATTCAATTGACTGAATACAATTTATTCATAGACTAGCCTCTGTCTGCGGCTTCTCTCGCGTTCTTTTAATGGGGTGAGGGAAGGATTTACAATAAAAAAATGAAATGATGCACGATTCTATGCTGGTCACAAATAACCCGCATACCAATTGTTAGCTTTCCACATTGAAAATTGCAAAATACCCCATACAAACTTTCACCTCTGTTTCACGGAAGTGGAAGGGGGTTAGAAAAAGACAAAAAGTAGCCTATGATACTCTCCATCTTTTCAACTATCTCAAATCAAAAACCTTCCTGACTCCGTTCTGTCGTGAAATACGGACAAACAAACAAACAAGCACATACAAATTTATATTATTAGTATACCTCTACATTTCTTAAGTCATCTGAGATTTGTGTGACAAGTGAGTTTACAAAGTCAATGTGTCATAGATTTTTTTTATACTATGGTATTAATATTAAGGTATGCAAAGAGGTTGACAGCAGTCTAAGGAGATAAAACCACGAATAAAATATTTTCAGTTTACTTGAATTCGTATTTTTTATATGTATATCAAAAAAACTAGCTAAATGCACATAGCTAAAAAATAATATTAGTCCTTTTCATTTTAGACCGTCAAGGCCAAATTCACTATGATAGTTTGCTGTTTTTTTATGGCATAAGCCGGTAAACGAGCAGACGGATCACCTGATGGTAAGCAATCTGCGCCGCCCATGGACACCTGTAACACCAGAAGTGCTAGAAGTGCGTTACCGGTCTTTTGGGAATTGGTAATTTGAGGATTGTCAGGGATTGGGGGGGCTGAGGGAGGGGTAATTGGGCCTCCGGTAACCTCACTTACACAGCGAAACACTCCTTTAGGTAACCGAGGGCTGGGCTCGCTGTCATTGCAGCGGAAAGTCCCCTCTTTAAAAGTGGCTTTAGAGAGGCCATCAATGCGAGGACCGCCCGGAGAACACGGTGGAGCATATCGTGGCGGTGTACCTTGCATGGGCTGAGCACCGCCGTGTTCTCAGGGATGTAGGAAACGGTGACCTCTCGCGTTCGGCTCTGGTTCAGGCCATGGAGCGAGGGGGATTGGGATGCAGTCGCATCATTCTGCGAAGCAGTTATGCTTGCCAAGGAGAAAGCGGAGCGCGTGAGGGCACGAACTTCCTCACGCCCCAGCCGTCGCGGGAGACACTCTGGGCGTCGGAGATCGGCCGACCACAGGCCACCGTAAGTGCGGGTCTGTAGACGAAGAGCAAGGGTAGCTCGCCACCCGACCAGAACCAGTCCCGTGCATACTGCGCGCGCCTTACAGAGCCATGACACCATCATAGATGGAGCCCAGTAGGGCTGATGCTCGATACGGTGCCGTGGGAGGCCTAACGAGTTGACGGGGCTCCGGCTCGACGAGCAGGAGTAGGAACGGAGTGGATTTTAGTCAGTAAGAATCTGTCACTCCCTCTCACCTAACCCAAGGCGGGAGAAGTGATTGGATGATTTTCCGACCTCAAAAAAAATCTCCTTTAGGTAATGACAACCCGATGTGTAAAAAACCACCAAAAAAACTCCTTATATTATTGGTATTGATTACGCTGTGGAAATTATGGACAATAGAGCCAAAGGGGTGTATTAAGTCTTATAGAGGACATTAATATCAACATTAAAGTCCATGTATCATATGTAACTAACCTAATATCAGAATACCTATTTTTTCATTTAAATGTTTGCGATAGTAACGCATGTCGTACCGGTACATATCAGGTCACATTATAGGAGAGAGGAAATCCCAAAATGACGGAAACTATGCGCTAAAAAACCAGGACTAAGGACGTTGAAATAAAGAGGGGCTCTTACCTTTTAAACCATTGAACCTATTTGGTGAAATTCGGTACAGCGATAGTTTGAGACCCGGGAAAGGACATCTAAAAGTTTTTAACCCGAAAAACCCACGAAACCGGGAACTGTGCTGTTAAAATCACTATATCTATTTGATTGAAATGCGATACAACATTGATTTGCAAACATAGAATAGTGAAACCTCACGAGACGGGCACTGTACGGGTAAAACCTCTATGGGATTGTTTATTTTAGAAACCACGAAAATAAATTCATTTCTCAATAAATATAACCTAGGTACTGAATCGATTGTGATGATATTTGTTCCAGTTGTACAGCCGTAGAATATACCTTGACAAAGACTAATTTAAAAACCCAATTTATACAGAAGTCGCTATTTCACGCGAACGAAGTCGCGGGTAACAGCTAGTCTATATAAATAAAAATGAATTTCTGTTCGTTAGTCTCGGTAAAACTTGAAAACTGCTAGACCGATTTGGCTAATTTTGGCCTTCAAACGTTCATGGAAGTCCAGGGAAGGTTTAAAAGGTGAAAAACATTGTTTAAGGTGCTTCGAAGTTTGCCGGGTCAGCTAGTATTCATATAAATTAATAGAGTCAGAAATACGCATACATTACTCCTCTATTTCCAATAAAGGGTTGGCATTTGGCAGTAGTATTGTTTCCTCAAGGTTTTAAACTACGTCATGAAGATTTGGAAACTAGAAATAGGACAAGCCTTCAAAGAACGTAATTCCTTTCTTGTGTAACGTAAGAAAACCAAAAGACTAGTAATAAGCTGATAAATGAGTAGGCGGATCACCTGATGGTAAGCAATCGGCGTCGCCCCCATGGGCGACTGTTTGGGTGAATGTTTTAGGTGTCCATACACCTAAAACATTAGAGGCGTTACAAGTGCGTTGCCGGCCTTTTGGGGATTAGGAAGAGGAGAGATTCAGGGATTGGAGAGATTGGGGAGGGGAGGGGGGTAATTGGGCCTCCGGTAACCTAACACAACGAAACATAACGCAAGCGATGTTTCACGTCAGTTTTACGTCAATCGAGCCGGCCTATTCGTGCCGAAGCATGGCTCTCTAACACCAGGAGGCGGGTCACCATCAGCACCTATAAGGGGACACCAGGTCTTCTGAGTAGACCAGCTCCAAACCCACCACCCTGTCCTCATCAAAAGTAGTTCAATGTAATCTTATTATTATATATCCACCTAGCGAAATACCAGACTCCGTGCCATTTACTCAAATCGATATCTCATTACGATTTTATCAAGTATTTATTAAACCCAGTTAAACTGCGCTTAACCTGCTAATGGCTTAAGATAAACATTCTCGGCTGAGTGAAGTGCAATGTGCTCTGATAACACTGATAAGCTAACAATTACGTATAAAATCTGAACCGTTGTTCTACGCCAACGCATTTGTTGATAACAGTATAATTGCATACCTTCTCTCCGATCTAGCCAACTTGGCTATCGCAAAATTAGTTTTTTTTAAGGGGGGCTTTCATCAAATGACTTCTCCGGCCAGGGTGAGGAAAGTGGGAGTGTCAGACTCTTACTGTCTAAAAACAACGCCATTCCTATTCCTGCCCTTCGAGCCGTAGGCCCGGTAACCCGTTAAGCCCTCCGCGGCTCTATATCGGCATCATAATAATTAATTTAGTATGTCTCATAATCATAATAGCCGGTATCGTACTTGTAACGCCTCTGATGTTGCAGGTATCCATGGGCGACGCCGATTGCTTACCATCAGGTGATCCGCCTACTCGTTTACCGGTTTATCCCATAAAAAATACCTTATATAATAAACTAGCTTCTGTCCGCGACTTCGTATGGGTAATCCCATTTTTTCCCGTCCTCGTTCGTGATTTTCGGTAAAAAGTAAAAAAAAAGTATTGGTTAAAAAGTATCCTATGTCGGTCTCCTGGCTCTAAGCTACCTCCCTATCAATTTTCAGCCAAATCTCTTCTGCCGTTTTTCGAGTTATAAGTGGTGTAACTAACACGACTTTCTTTTATATATATAGATATACATATACATATACATATTTGTTTCATACCTATAATGATTGTGAAGTTATTCAATTACACTATGACCGGAGCGAACACGTGACTATCATTCATTGAACTTATATGTCATATACTTTGAAGTTTAATACGAGCATAGAGCATTGATACAACTTCTTATCAACATTACAATTTGCAACATCATAATATTATAATAATATAAGTCACATATACTGATAATATATAAATTAATTATGTTATTTAGCGTTTGTTATTACACAGAACATAACGTCACGCCTTTTATCTCCAAATGGGTAGGCAGAGGTGCACATTACGGCACTTAATGCCACTGCACCATGTAACACCCACTTTTTACTACTTTATGTTATGCGTCTCATATAATAGGGGGTGAGCCTATTGCCATATACCGGGCACGATTTCAGATTCCGTGCTACCACGGAGAATTTTTTTAAAACCCAGTAATACTTTACCCGACCCGGGAATCGAATCCGTGACCCCTTACTCGGCCAACGAGACAGTCTTTTATAATTACTTCTAGCAATTAACTCGTCGAGTACCGGTTTTGTAGACACAATTAAAGAACAATAGGTTGCGGTCACCGGTGACCGCTTGGTGTTTGACAGTTTAATTTGTTCTGAACTACTACATACATGAGCTGCTGTTTACATAGCTATGATGAAACCTATAACTTCATTCACACGATGAAACATAACGGTCTGGTTGTTTCACGTCCGTTTTCTGTAAGGCCGTGGTATCACTCCGGTCGAGCCTTTATATTTACATCGTTTAGACACAAAATTCATGCTGTTTTATTTTTCCTTGTGTTCTACATATTGAATTAAGACCTAACGGACTGACGGATAATCTTCTATTTTTATGTTTAAAAAGTTGTCAATAATTCTAACCATAATATTGACAAAAATTACTGGATCTTCGGCTCGAAGCAGGACTTTTTTTTTAAGGCGGGAAAATCATCATCGAATGACTACTCCCGCCTGGGTGAGGCGGGAGGGAGTGTCAGACTCTTACTGACTAAAAACCACCCCGTTCCTACTCCTGCACATCGAGTCGGAGCCCCGGTTACCCGTTAGGTTCTCTCGAAGCAGGACTACGAACGGGGTAGCGTTTAGTCAGTAAAAGTCTGACACTCCCTCACGCCTCACCGAAGCTGGTCCCTATATGTACCGGAACAGACATTACGACCCAGTGCTGCTGATGATGATGATGGAGTAGGCAGAGACTATGGAACGCCAATTACTACGATTCCTACATACCTCTTTCGCTTCATCAACAGCCATCAATCTTTTCATGCATGCTCGTCGGTTAATGGTACTTTTAATTTGGCCCTTTTTTAATATATCGCCAATCTGGCCACTATATGTCCGTCTTTTTTTTTTAAGGGGGGAAAATTATCGAATAACTGCTCCCGTCTGGGTGAGACGAGAGAGAGTATCAGACTCTTATTGACTAAAAACCACTCCGTTCCTTCTCCTGCACGTCGAGCCGGAGCCCCGGTAACCCGTTAGGTTCTCTGCGACTCCGAATCAGCATCGGCCCTGTTGGGCGCCATCCGTGGTGGTCTGATGGCTCTTTGAGGCGCACGCGGAACGCGATGCGCCGTACGCTCGGGTATATGTCCGTCTAGGGCGTCCTCTACCGACAGCCCCATTCATATCAGCTCTGTATACTTCTTTACTCTACTGATGATGGCCACTAAGGTGATTTTAGTGAGGCATGAACCCCGAACTCCGTCTTTCACCTCAAAAAGCTAGGAGCTTTTTGTTCCCTCCGTAAGCAAAAAAGACGGAAGGAGTCATGCCATGATTTTCCACCCTCACAAAAATTGCTTCGGCTTTGTTCTAGGTTTAACTTGCTTTTCTTATATTTTCAGGTTATAGACGTGTACGAGAATTCATATGGAGGCCGTGGCTGTCTCCTGGTGGTCATGGAATGTATGGATGGAGGGGAACTCTTCCAGAGAATACAGGATAACAGAGAAGGAGCGTTCACTGAACGACAGGCTGCTGAGGTAATTTTTTTTATGGAATAATCTGGCAAACGGGTAGCTGTATAACCGGATGGTGAGCAATCAGCGCCGGTCATGGACACCCGCATCACCAGAGGGGTTAGAAGTGCGTTGCTGGCCTGTAACTAAGTGACTTGTAATGTAGTACCTACATAATTTTTACCATTGCCATTGTTATGTTTTGAATTTCATATATTTCAGATTCGTGCTAATATTTCATGAGAATTCAAAAAAAAAAAACAAAAGAATCTAGTAATTTTTTCTACCGAGAATAGAACCCGAAACTTTTGTATTGTTCGATTTAATACAAGACTATTTACTGTTGAGACAATCGGAAATAGCAAATAATAAGACACTTTACTCCATCTACGAATCGAATAAAAAAATAAAGTACTCGTAAAATAAAACCTCTTTTAAATTTATTTCCACAGATAATGCACTCAATTTGCGTAGCAGTACGTCATCTCCACGACTCAAACATTGCTCACCGGGACATCAAACCAGAGAACTTGCTGTACTCCAGCACCCAACCCAATGCTGTACTTAAACTCACCGACTTTGGTTTCGCTAAAGAGACCTTGACTCCTGCTGATACCCTGCAGACGCCGTGCTATACTCCTTACTATGTCGCTCCTGAGGTAAGACAAACCTTTTGTTTTTTAATACATACATACATAACATCACGCCTTTTCTCCCCGAAGGGGTAGGCAGAGGTGCACATTATGCCACTGTACAATGTAACACCCACTTTTCACTATTTATGTTATGAGTCCCATGTAATAGGGGGTGAGCCTATTGCCATATACCGGCCACAATTCCTGACTCCGTGCTACTACTGAGATTTTTTTTAATACCCAGTAATACTTTGCCCGACCCGGGAATCGAACACGAGACCCCTTGCCCGGCAGTCGCACTTGCGACCACTCGGCCAACGAGGCAGTCAGCAGTTATATGTACTTTCTAAGATTATCTAGACACCACTGACAAACGGTGAAGGAAAACACTGTGAGGAAACCTGGGCTTATAATTTCTAATTATAAGTTTGTAAATCGCCAACCCGCATTGAGCAAGCGTGGTGATTAATGCTGAAACCTTCTCCGTGTGAGAAGAGGCTTTGCTCAGCAGTGGGCATTTATAGGCTGTTGATGTGTACTAGATGGCGCTGGGTTTTAGTTACATAATTAACTTGATGTTCCAGGTCCTAGGCCCAGAAAAATACGACAAGTCCTGCGACATCTGGTCTCTTGGAGTGGTGATGTATATTCTTCTATGTGGCTTCCCGCCGTTCTACTCCAACCATGGACTTGCTATATCTCCAGGGATGAAAAAGGTAGCTTCTTAAGCCATATCCTTGCTCATTATAGAAAAAAATCCACATCGTATATGTTTGCAGTAAACTCAAATATTTCTGAACATATTCCAAAGAGGTTTTTTTTACAAGTGAATAGAAATTTCTTGAAGCGAGTTTACAATTAAATTAAATTCACATACTAGCACACCTATACTCAATGATTAACACAAAGATTTGTTCCGTCCGGGAATCGAACACGCGATAAGTTGCACGACAGTTACCCAGTCGCTGCGTCAGCTGCAGTTGTTTGCGTTGTTTCCTAAGAGTTCAAGAAAAAACAAAAACCCAATACTTTCCCAACTCAGGTATTGAACATGAGACCCCTTGGCTGACTAACGATTGTCACCACTATTATTTATATGAGTGTGTAAATTAAATGATTATTTTTAATATTTCAGCGTATCAGACTAGGGCAGTATGACTTCCCGGAGCCGGAGTGGTCGAACGTGTCTGCTGAGGCTAAGAATCTCATCCGAGGGATGCTCTCTGTCGACCCCGCTAAACGATTGACTATTCAACAAGTAAGTACATGAGAAATGATTTTTGAGTGTAATTAAAGTACCTAACTAAAGTAACAAACATTTTTCTGATGTAGTAAAATCTTCTCTTGAGTGTTACACTTTTTCGGAGTCGCGGAGAACCTAACGAGTAACCGGGGCTCCGGCTCGACGTGCAGGAGAAGGAACGGGTTTTTTTTTTTTTTTTTTTTTTTAAGGGGGGAAATCATCGAATGACTGCCCCCGCCTGGGTGAGGCGGGAGGGAGTGTCAGACTCTTACTGACTAAAAACCACCCCGTTCCTTCTCCTGCACGTCGAGCCGGAGCCCCGGTTACCCGTTAGGTTCTCCGCGACTCCGAATCGGCATCGGCCCTATTGGGCCCCATCTGTGGTGGTCTGATGGCTCTTTGAGGCGCGGAACGCGACGCGCCGTACGCTCGGGTCTGTTTCTGGTCGGACGGAAGGAACGGGGTGGTTATTAGTCAGTAAGAGTCTGACAGTCTTCTCAGTCATTCGATGATTTTCCCCCCTTAAAAAAAAGTGTAACACCTTACTGAAAACCACATTCAAATCGGTTCAGCCAATCGCGAGATAAACGCGCACATACATACAAACATATAGGTCACCTTGAAAACTTATTTTGTTTTGTAATCTTTTAAAGTATTGGCCCAGTTTTTGTAGACTTTAGCGCTGAAAAAAGTTAATTTTATATTTATTAATGATTTGTTTCGTCCCTCCAGGTAATGTCAAGCCCCTGGATCCGTCAGTTCACTCAAGTCCCACAAACGCCTCTCTACACCCACACCTTACTTCGCGAGAGTGGAGAGGTCTGGGCAGATGTCCAGGATGAGATGACTCGCTCCCTCGCCACCATGCGCGTGGATTACGATCAGGTGACGGCGAGTGTTGTTTCCCTGTATTTTTCTAATAGGGTTAAGCAAGTTTCTAGGTCGGGTTTTGGATGGGTGACCATTTTATAGAACATAACATCACGCCTTTTATCCCCGAAGGGGTAGGCACTGTGGAAGACTGCCTCGTTGGTCGAGTGGTCGCAAGTGCGACTGCCGAGCAAGGGGTCTCGGGTTCGATTCCCGGGTCGGGCAAAGTATTACTGGGTTTTTAAAAATCTCAGTAGTACGACGGAGTCTGTAATTGTGCCCGATATATGGCAGGCTCACCCCCTATTACACGGGACTCATAACATAAATAGTGAAAAGTGGGTATTACATTGTACAGTGGCATTAAGTGCCGAAATGTGCACCTCTGCCTACCCCTATATTATGTTACAAAATAAATATGTTATATAATACAAATATGTACACATGTAGCTATCATATATTATGATACAAAAGTAGATTTTGTATTTGTAATTGGGCCTCCGGTAACCTCAATAACACGACGAAACACAATTGTTTCACGTCGGTCTTCTGCTCGGCCGTGGTATCACTCCGGTCGAGCCGGCCCATTCGTGCCGAAGCATGGCTCTCCCACACCTAAATTACATTTGGCATGGTTATCATTCTCGTTATTTATTAATTCAAGTTACCAATATAATAAGTAGGTAAATGAGCATTGGAAAATTGGAAAATT